TTAAACTGCAGGAATGTCTTAAAGACATAAAGACCTGGATGGCCGCTAACTTTCTGCTTCTTAATTCAGATCAAACTGAGGTTATTGTACTCGGCCCTGAAAATCTTAGAAATATGGTATCTAAGCAGATTCTTACTCTGGATGGCATTACCTTGGCCTCCAGTAACGCTGTGAGGAACCTTGGAGTCAATTGTTTGACTCATTTTAGAATTCACTGTTGAAAAATGTATTAAACTTTAATAAATTAAATGTGAGACTTAAAAAACAAATTAATGTGGCATTATGCAAGTCCAGAACTAAGACCTCCTTGTGCTTCTAATTGCAGGATGATTCCTTCTCATGAATATCCAAACCAGAGGACAGAACACATTCTGCAAAGACATGCAAAGATCAAATCAACATGTCAAATGGAGTAATTTAAATTTTCTAAGAAACGGAGAATTTTTTCTGACAAATTCTGTATTATACTTGATATGATATATCTTATTATAAATAATAATGCCAACACTTTTCACCAACAATATTTTATTAATAACTTGAATGGTGATAAACAATACATATAATATATAAACAATATAAAACACTGACATCTGTACTACTTGTGTTTCTCACTGTACACTAGAGGGGAGTGAAAACTCATCACACTCTTCAGTCAAGATAACAACTGGTGTTAAAAGATTATATAGAACCAAAAAATTGTGTTTTGGCTCTTTTTATTCAGCTGAGTCAGCCTGGCAAAGAGAAAGGCAGAATTTTCAATTTCATTACACCCTTTAGATCATTTATTGATCACACGGGTACATCACATTTACATACATATACTGATGTGTATATGGCACATCTGAGCTGTCAGAAAGGCTCTATAGGGATGTTTTTTCAAGCCCAAATATAGCTACATATTCTGTGACTACACAATATGTACCCAAACCATCAAGCTTAGATGAAGAGTAGCAGGAAATTATATCTGTTAAAAAGAATTGTTTCTTTTTATTTATTTTTATGTCCTCTTGTTGATGATGTCAATTAGGTTAATGTTCAGCCAGCAGAAGTTCAGGAAGGTCTCGCTCGAAGGTCTGCTGTAACAGAGAAAAGTCATACAAGTGGCTCTCAAAGCTGGACACCAGGAAGACCTGTGGAGACTCGAAACCTTGTTTTCTCAGACCTGTTGATAAACAAATTTGGGATTTAGCAGTAGGGTTAGGCGAGACAAACATACAAATAAAAGCCTACTAATGTTTACCAAAAGGTTTGTGGCATTGTGTGTGATGAATCATCAAGAGGGCACTGCAAATGATCCATCGGGCATCATTGTGGGCCAATAAACCCTGAACTCATTCACAAAGTTTACATGTAGTATGAGTTTCAAATGATTTCAGAATAAATTCAGATGCTCAATAAATTATATCAGTGAGATTATTTTCCCACCAATGAAAATCTAATAAAGCACCTACACTTTTCAAAATATGAATAAATATTTATGTTAACCTCAATATTTCACAAATATTGAGGTTCACAATGTACTTTATATCTTAATAAAAAACTCACCTTGAATGCAGTTTACCCTGAGTTGTGCAAGGTACTCCTCATTGTTGAAGTATCTCTTTCTTTTTGCAGCTTGTATATCGTTGTCAATCTTTGAGCGAACAAAGTAGAACTTTTTCTTCATCTTCTGAATCTCCTGAGCGAGTTTCACATCATTTTCTCTAAAGCCGGTGTCCGAGATGATGATGAAGAAGTCAAACCTTTCGAATTTAACAAGTTCCAAGTATTTAACAGCTGGAAACTCTATGGTGCCAATTCCAGGAAGATCCCATAATTTGACATTGGGATGCTCTGGATGGAAGTATGGAATAAGATCCTTTGAGGATTCTATAACACCAGTAGGAGCAGCTCTCTCATCTCCATCACTGATGCCTCTGAAGGCATTAACAAAGGTGGATTTACCAGAACCAGATTCTCCTGTGATGGCGATATTTATCTTCTTTTTCTCTTCTAAATGTGTTTTAAATAACTTCCCCATGTTGATCCTTCAACAGAAAAAGAAAAAGTTGTTAAAATTGCTGCACAATTATCTTGGACTGCAGACTATATACATAAATGCAGCATCTATTTTGATAAGTTAAGTTCTAAGTGATTTCAGTTTAATTATCATTAATATCCAAACTGTCATGACCATTGATCAACCGCCATGAGTACCATTCATAGAAAGCTGGGGAATGGCTGCAAACACAGAATTTTAGGATGCTGAACGATGTACCCTTAAGCCACCTCCTTGGTTCAGAGACAGTCCAAATAGAGCAAGGCCCTTGCCAGTCTCCAGACCTTACCTTGGTATCAGTACATGCAGTAAAATTGTCTTGTGTAAACTGTATATGGTGTTAAATAGGCCTATACTACTGTACTTTAATGGAATAGTTCAGCTGATATGCACCAAACTTTCTGGAACACAAAACACAAAAAAGATTCTCTAAACAACCATCATTTGTTTACAGGAAGACACCTTCTGCCCAATTTTCACTGGAATTAACCAGCAGTGAAAAAACACCTGTAAAACCACACCATTCAAATTCAGCATAACACAACAGCAAACAAAGGCCACTCAAGGCCCAGTGATTTTGGTGACCAAACATTCTCCAGCTCATCTCTGTCCAAGAGTGGAAGAAGGATTAGCGTCCAACATTCTTACGGTTAATGTAATACAGACTTCATTAACAATGAAGATGGGACAAAGACATGCTGTGGAGAGAGCCAGAGATTAATAACTAATAATTCAATGCAAACAGAAAGTAAAGTAAATGAAAAAGGTGACTAAAGAAGGCAAAACACTCAATGCATCATGGGAATCCCC